AGGGGTGCAAGTGCTCCGCGTCGACGAAGGCAACGATGCGGCTGTTCAAAAGCCCCTCAACTTCGACGACGTTGACGGTGACGACGATTGCAACTTGGGCGATTTACCTGAGATTAGGCCGCTTGGGAGGAAGGTGAGAAACGGCGGTGCGAGTGCGAAGAAGGGTTCCACTCCGAGAAATCAGAGGAACAAGAAAATGGACGACGACACAGGCGGGAGCGATGGCAAGGGCGCTCGGAATTTCTGGTTCGTCSGAGACTCGATCACACTCGTGAGGGCGAAAAGGGATCAAGATCTGTATTTCGCAGGCATGGGACCGAGGGAATGGAAGTGGGAGGACGTGAGGTCCACGTTGCAGAAGATGGACGTCACGAGGAAGGTCGTCGACTGCAGGAAGAAATGGGACAACTTGATGCAGCAATTCAAGAAGGTTCACAAGTTTCAGCACCTCTCCGGTGGGAAGGACTACTTCAAGCTTGCTTCATCGGCCAGGAGATCGGAGGGCTTCAACTTCGTCATGGTTCGGAGCGTGTACGAGGAGATGGAGGCCATGACGAAGGGGGATCACACTATCCACCCGAAGAATTTGGCGGACACGGGGGCGCCGGGGGGCGTTCAGATGCTGGCAGGCACGGGGGCTGGAGGGGAATCCATGGGCAGTGAGGGTGGAGGGGAGTCTATCGACGAGGAGCAGGGGTCGACAAAAGATTCGACATTCAACGCGGGGAGCGCCGACGGTTCCGGGAAAACGAAGAACATGCGGCAACAAACCTTTGAGGCCGTCGTCGAGGTTATGGACAAGCATGGTGTGCTCATGGCGAGCACGATGGACAGCTCGAGCAAGCGCCAAAGCTCTACGATGTTACGACAGTGCGAAATCCTTGAGAGCGAAGTGGAAGTGCTGAGGAAACATTATGTTGCGGCGGATGAGGCGAACAAAATGATGTGCAACGCCCTTATGGAGATAGCGAAAGCCATCCGCGCGAGATAATGACGACGCTGCTGTTTAGTGTCACTTTACTGTCCTGTCTCTCCATCTACAGCAATTGCGACGATGTCGACCAGTGTGTGTGTGGGGGGGGG